GAAGCTATAGAGAAAACGGCAGATGAGAACGCTATGCCAATATATATATTCAAATCTTCCCGTGTTGTCTAGTGATTCGCATTGCCTTACCTTTTCCTATTGTACGAATATTGACGAATGTTAGTGACGGAATTTCGATTAATCACTATGGTGCGGTACGCCTTCAAATTTTCCGGTTAGCGGTTTAGTTTCATTAGGAGAAAAACACACACTAAGACCACCTTAAATATTAACATTTTTAAAAACAAAAAAAGTACAGTTGAAGTATATTGTAAGTTTACTGCAATATACATTCAAGATCCCAAGCATAGTTTTTAATATAGTTCTAGCATTAAACTACTTTGCTGGCTCGTAGCGCGCGAGTATTAACTCTGTTGGTTCCACCGTGCCTTTTGGGCTGCTAAGCTATGCGTGCATGAGGTTTATTTTTAAGGAAAATTCGGCAAGATTTAAAATAAACTTTAGGCATACTTTTTACTTAGTCTTTTGCATAAACAGACCAAATCGCCATTCCTTTAGCGTATGGCTCCTTGTGTCAAGGTTTTCGTCGCCCAGAATACGCAGCGTCCTCTGAGAGACACATATATCCCTTGAACATATTTGTTTCTGATAGCATGTTCGCTCACAAAAAAAAACTTTCCAAAACGTCCGCATCATCGCCTGTCCGCCATTGCTTGATCTCCTACTCTGCGCATGTATTGGACACGAGTGTGACGTCAGTGTTCGGCGTGCACTCGGATCCAATCACGCGCTTCGTGCCGAAGCAATGGCGACCGCCAATGTTGCTTGATATATTTTTTTAGAAAAGTGTGTCGCTAATAATGCCAAAAAGCTCTTCCCGCACACTCGATACCACTAAGGCTTAATTGTTCCTCCGCGATGCGCAAGCAGGCCGCAGTCGAGTCGTACGTAGCTCTGACGGCCCAAAATTCGCTATGGCTACAGGCTTTCCTGGTTGGGCAGCTGGTCTATTTGGTGCCATGTCTTGTACATGGATGTATTAATTTGGCCTATTTTTAACTTTTTCCCCGACTCTAGACCGACGCGCTGTTTACAAACAAGCCCGCGTTTTCCCACACCACATTTGGGCACTGCGCATGCGCATAAACCAAATTAAAGTGAAGTGAACTTGGAGCGCACGCGCCGCACGGATATGCAGCGCCATCGCAGCGCCATGACGTCAATGCCGCGCTTTGGAGTAAAGTCACCGACAGCATAAGAAAGGTAGGGCGGGCTTGCTACCATTGCGATCTTAATGCGAAAGCATTAACTGTCCCATGGAGCGAAGCCGGCGTTGTCTGTAACCGTCTGTAGCAGCGAAACGGCAGTTAAATTCCCATTGGCCCAAAGCGCAGCAACTCAGATGCTTGTCACGAAAGCTGGCGGGGCGCTTAAAAACAAAGCGGACGCGCCTCAGAAGTAAAACGCAAAGAAAAGGAGGCTCAGGCGCGGCTGTCTTAAGTGTCTTTAGCGTATTTGGTTTTTGATTCGTTCTTCGGCGTTGTTATCGGCTAATGCCACAGTCCCATTGGTCGCTCGGGACAGTCCACACCCTCTGTTCTTAAGCTCTCGTTGACAACAGCATGTAAACTCGCGCTTCTAAGGCAATTTAGACGGGCCACAACAATCGGTTTCTTAGTGTATCGTGCTGCGACTTACTACAGAGATGCAGCCACATGGTGAAAGCAGTGGGTGAAAATATCAAGGGATAAGCGTACCTTGTTCCAAAGAGAAGAAGGAAACTTTTTTTCGGAGTATCTGCCGCGGAATTTACAGAGGACATCATGACCGGGCTCGCTTAGTTAAATCTGCCGCCGACAGATGTTGGTATGGTGGTTATAGGGCTAGGTGTACCGAGCATAACATTGAATACAAGCTACTCTTTCATGGCGACGCTCAGCGCAGAAATTGGCTTTTCACACAAAGACGTAATTAATTATTCGCGTTAATCTACTAAAGTTTGATGTTTCAAGTAAGTCTTAAATGTAAAATATAAGTAAAAAGTATGCAGGGGCGAACGACAGGATGGAGGGGACAGCATCCTTGGTTAGGCAGGAACAATATCTTGCGAGTTGGATGAGCTCTCCGTTGAGGACACGGGAGAAATTACTCACGATGAATTGTTTTTCCAAGTAGAATTTCCAAATCACTGACTGGCGCTGAAGTTATTTGTCCCCCCGTCACAGCACGACTTTCGATTTCTGAAAAAGTTGAGGATCATTGGGCACAAAAATAATGACACTCGCATCGCCGATCGTTGCTGAGAAGTACCAACGAGACTTCATTATTTCGTGACTAGAAATGAGCTATCTACGGGCACGGGGGAGCAATGCAACAGCCTGAGGAAAAGACGCAGAACACAAGTACGCACAAGTGACGTTTATTCCGAATCACGTTCCAGAACGCCTCGTGAAAAATGCGCTGCGGGATAGCCTCCTTTATACTCACAACGCCTGGCAGTTCAATGACGGAGCCATAGAGTGGCCGGTTGCAGATTTGGAGCGCGAGGATATGGTAGCACAGAGCCTCAAAGAGCCATTTTTCCGGGAACCTGGCGCCTGGCCACAGCTTTTGCAGTGGCGAGGAGCCGAAACACACTCGTTCGCTTGGTAGAAGTGTGTTTCGGCGCCTCGCCGCAGCGGGGAGCCAGTCACTTGGATCTCCTCTCATCCGTTGGCTGCCGCTCCACCTTTTCCATTTTGGCGGCCGCTTCTCGCGGCGATCTACCAGGCTTTGTCAGTATATAGGAGGCTATGACTGCGGACGCTACTAGCGCGTGGCGGTTGTTTCGAACAGCCCTTGCATTACACGAAGGCCCTTGCACAGCAGGTCTGATGGGTGCAATTTTGGCTTCGCTGTTAGACACGCCATGCCGCTTTGAGCGAGAATGCACTGGTACCTTGGACTTTTCTCGTAATAACGCGGCGGTGCGTGGAACTCTCCAAGAATGCAGAGGGCTCGGTACACCTACCCCAATAGCCCCCATAATGTCGGAAGCGCCGAGCGTGCCGGCGCCGAACTTAGGAGACGTTTTTGGAAACTTCTCATCTTGCCGGCACGCGTCTCTGCTGGAGCGTTCCACGATTTCGAGATCTGTCGGCGCAAGATTTAACCAGGCGAGTCCGGTCATGATGTCGTCTGCGAATGCCGCGGTAAAGAGTCCGGAACAGGATTTTCTTTTTATTTTTTTTTTTATATTTTGATCAAGGTAAAACTCATCCGTTGATATTTTTACCCCATGCTTTCATCACGTGGTACACCACTTCTATAATAAACCTGTGCGCAAAAAACAAATCGATTTTTGTGTCCCGTTTAAAGTGCGTTAGATTACATGCTGTATAAGTATGCTGGACATTTTCCCCGGTTTATCTATAAATGAATTCGGCTGACTCTTTTCGGTGTTTATTCTTGTTGAAGATATTACCGTATTTCGGTGACCTGCTTTGATCGGACGATAAAAAAAGTGAGTGTCGGTCACAAAATTTTATCAAAAATTAATAATTCTAGTCTCACAAAGGAGGGTTTCGACAAAAGCCCCCACAGGAGCAAACAATCGAATATATCGGTGCTCTTTGGTTTGAGCCAAGTTTTTCATTTTTGACACAAACGGATGTTTAACGGTGTTTTTCGTTTTTTTTTTTTGTACTCTTAACACCGACATCGGTGTTTTTCGGTTAAAACCGGAAAGATTTACACCAGGGGTCTCGACCTCATTTGAGTGCAGGGCCAGATAGCCGATTCCCGAAAAATCGAGGGCCAACCTAAGGTGGGGGGGGGGGGGGGGGGGGGGGGGGGGGGGGGAGTGGGGAGGATTTTTGAGGAGGAACCTCATGCTCCATTTTTTTTCTTTAAACTCGCAGTGTAGTTATTGACATCTTCAGCTTTGATTTGTTTATAGGAATAATTTGGATTCTTGCTTGATGTGACAACGAGATTTAAAATAGCACCACTCTTGCGAGAGCAATCCCACTGCCGTTTTTTGTTCACCAATGCATTCGGAAATTATTCAAGCTATAGATTTATTAAAAAGAGGAGGACATTTCTTCATATGAAAGCGCTTTGTTTCCTGGGGATTCTGGATAGCAGCAGTCTAAAAAAATACTTGTAGTTGAATGGCGATTTTTTCTGAAGGCGAAAATCTCAAGCTCTTAGCTTTTATCTTTCACCATTCCTCTGCTGAGCGAGAGTTTGTGCAGCCAAAGTGTGTCTTTGAGCGAAGTGCTCGCGCTTGAAGCCTAAAAGCGAAATTATGGCACAGGTGACTAACTTGAGAAAACTTAAGGAAGCAAAGTATAAAAGAAGACACAAGGCCAATGAAAACAGAAAGGTTATGCCCGTGTCCCACTAGACCGACAGACAGAAACAAAAGACAGCGACAAGCCTCAAACCCATGCAGCATGCTCGCGATGGTACCTAAGAAGGCATGTAGTCGTTCAGTGCTCGTGAAGTAAGCACGAGCGATTGCAAGCCTGCCAAAGATACCCTCGCGTGCATGGTGCTCGTCTATGAGCATAGCCTCTGTTATTCAACAAAGCCTCTCAAATCACAAAAGACTCTGGTTTGAGGCTTGTCGTTGTCGTTTGTTTCTGTCTGTCGCTCTAGTGGGACACGGGCATAACTGTGTAAATACGTTAGAAGAGCAGAGCTATGTTTCGAGCGGAAATAAATCAGCAACCTGAGATCATTATAGCGCATGCCATTTCTTGCGCTCAAGGCATGGGAACGAGGGCTCACAGCCCGTTGCCCGCGGGCTGCGTCCCAGCGACTCGCGGGCCGCGTGTTTGAGACCCCTGAATTATACACAAAGACACTGTTTATCTACAAGCCCGCGTTTGACCCTAATAGGTGGGCGCACTCCAGGTGCGCAGGATCCCAACGTGGGAGAAATGAATCGTCTGGGCATGCGCAGTGGCGGAATCAGCGCCCCCGCAGAGGCGTGACGTCAGATAGTTGAGCTGGTGTATACGTAGAATAATGTTTGACCGGAACGTCACTTACAGGGACTCACAGAAGTGAAACTCAACGGAGTGCCTCTGGGAGGATGGACCATGGAGGCCGTACCCGTCACCAAAAACAGGGACGTCTCCTACATCTTGCAGCTTCTTCTAGACGCAGTGGGACAAGGGGACGTTCCCGGCTTCTTCCATGGCACCTTCCAACTTCCCCAGGGCGAACCCGCCGATACCTTCCTGGATCCGCGGGGCTGGGGCAAGGGCATCGCGTTCGTGAACGGAATCAACCTGGGCCGGTACTGGGCCACGGTCGGGCCACAGATAACGCTCTACGTGCCTGCGCCTTTCCTATTGGCTTATCCGGAGGACAACAGACTTGTGTTATTGGAGCTGGAAATGGTTCCACGTGATAGCCGTGTGCGGCTGGTGGACACACCGAAACTGGATGCTGATTTCTGATCCTGATCAAAGCGCCCGGGATACAGATGTTCCTCTGTGCTCGAACTCTTGCCCATCATTAAGAAGAAACATTACATTATCCTACCAACACAATAACTCACGTATACCATAAACTCTCTGTTTCTGTTACAGAGGGTAACATAGCAAGTTGAAAACGAAAGATTGCCATGTGTCTCTTTTATTCCTTTAACAGTTGAAAGGGTATTATCAAAAGTACTAGTATAGTGGAATGTGCTCATTCTGGCCACCCGACAGGGAGGTACAAATCTGATGTTGGTTAAACCATGTCCGAGTGAAATGGGAAAAACCGTCGGTGTTGTGTTGAGGCTAACTTTGACCCGCGGTTCACCTAGGATCTAGTGTTTCCGCAAATTCAGGAGACCGCATTAATTTGGTTATCCCAAGTTGTAAAAAAAATGTATGAGTAACTTTGAACACGTTCAGTCAATTAGAGTTTAATAATGTAGTGGAAGCTCGCCTACAGCACGAGCTTTTCAGTCCTCCTAACACTTCAGCCTCTGGTGAGCCTAAGCATGATACACGCCAGCGAGGCCGTGCTGGAGGCGGAGCTTTCAAAGCATTAGCATAATGTACCCGAATGTGGTACGTGAGACGGTCACTAACATTATTTTTATAAACTCTTGTTAGGAAAATGACAGCCAAGCTCCCACACTTCATTGTCACGTTGCACATGGGCACTTTGTTAATCGAATGGCTGAAAAGTTTCGTTCTTAAGTTAGTTTAAGTTGTGTCGATACGATGCGCAGTGTACACTATACGCTATATAGAACAAAATAAATAAATACAAACAGATAAACACGCAACAGAACAGTCGAAGTGATGTCTTTAAAAACAAACATTTAAAGAAGTCAGTGCGTTTATTTAGTGCAAATGAACGAAAAATAGCATACGTGTTAGGTGTCCAAAAAGCGTGCCATACAGCTCAGCTGATACGAGCCGGGACCTGGTCCGTAAAGGTGTCACTTTTGTATGAATGTAGAAAAGTTTGCAATAAATGCATTGGTTCGCTTGGTTACCACATGTCTGTAATTTTCAGTATTCTTTTCTTTGCGGCACAACACGCTCGTCGAACTAAATATAAGATCCTTTCATTTCTCTTTCTCCCTCCCCCACCCTACAAAAAAGAGCGAGTTCTTCACGCATCTGACATGTTTGATGTGTTACGCCTTGTTCACAAATGGCTATGAAAATGGTAGAAAGGAGAAAGGGTTCATTAACTATTCCACGCAAGTGTGTGATAAAAGAATGCAAAACAAGAACGCAAAGACGCCAACAATAAGGATTTCAGTTTTTTTCTTAATGATTTTTATGTGTCATCTAGGTCCAACTGATGTAAAACGTGATAGAACGGTTCGCCCTCTAGATTCTGTGCCTACAGCTCGCTAAAACCTCTCCCATTATGGTTGTGGCGGGGACACTAGTAACAACAATCACAGCGTTGGTTTTGGTCTCGTCAACGTCGGGCGAACCGTCATTTCGAATAGACTACAAGAACAACCGCTTTCTAAAAGACGGAAAACCCTTTCGCTTTGTTTCGGGTGCCCTTCACTACTTCCGAGTACCGCAAGCTTCCTGGAGAGACAGACTGATCAAGATGAAGATGGCCGGACTCAACGCCGTGGACGTGTACGTAGAATGGAGCGGCCACGAACCCGAGCCCGGTCGGTATCTCTTCCACAACGAATACGACCTTGAACTCTTCCTTGAATTTGTGCAAGACCTGGATCTTCTCGTTCTCTTCCGTCCTGGCCCTTACATCTGCGCAGAGAGGGACAACGGTGGTCTGCCCTACTGGCTACTCAGAAAGAATGCGAGCATGGTGTACAGAACTTCAGACCCATCGTTCATGGCAGAGGTGACGAGATGGTTCGACCGTCTGCTTCCCCTGATGAAGCCGTACCTTTACGAATATGGAGGACCGATCATCTTGGTTCAGGTGGAAAACGAGTACGGTGCCTACTTTGCCTGTGACAAGAAGTATATGAGAGACCTCGCGTCCCTTCTTCGGAGGCACCTAGGACACAGCGTGCCCCTGTTCCTTTCTAACCAAGGTGACGAGTCGCACTTTAGGTGCGACAGGGTTAGTGGTATCCTACCCACGGTGAACATGAACGCTCATGTCCCGGTCTGGAAGGCCCAAGAGGTCTTGAGCAGAGTTTATCCTAGGAGAAGAGGACCTCTTGTCATCGCCGAGTACTACACCGGTTGGATGGATTATTGGGGTGGCCGTCACGTATCTGTTAATGACAAGAGAAATGTCAGAACATTCAAGTCATTGATGAACGCTGGAGCTTCGGTGAATTTCTATATGTTTCACGGTGGCACCAATTTCGGTTTTACTAGCGGAAGCTCCCCACCTTGGGTGACCACTAGCTACGACTACGCCGCTCCCTTGTCGGAGGCGGGAGATCCAACGCCATTGTACTTCATGCTGCGAAATGCGACCGCAAAGTACCTCCCTCTACCGCCAGGGGATGTACCGGTTGCCACGCCTAAGTTGAATATCGGTAGATTGTTTCTGTACTGGAGCATATCACTTGTGGATGTGTTGAAGCACTTTGCAGCAGAAGGCACCCTAAAGAACGCTACTTCCCGTCACCCGATGACCTTTGAGGAATTTGGACAAGCGCACGGTTACGTGGTGTACATGACGAGAATCCAAGGCATGTCCAAGTCTCCAGCTATACTGGAAATCAGGGGAATGAAGGACCGGGGATATGTCTCTACGGGGAGAGAATATTCTCTCTTGGGTGAAGGGCACGCGGTGTTATCGGTCCCAATAGAAGCCAACCAAGGAGATGTACTGAGCGTCATTGTGGAGAACATGGGCAGAACGAACTTCGGCAAGAAGAACCACGATCCGAAGGTAAGTAACGCTGATATAGTTCCACTCCAGGTTACTGGCCCACCCGATTTGTTTATGCCATTATAACATTTTGCACGTATAGTATTCGCCTTCAAACGAGAGTACTAGAACAATTGGTACTAGCATGTGTATCTACATGCGACCACTTGCGGATAAAGTACTAAAGTAGTCAATCATTCTACCACAACTCATACAGGGTGTTAGTGTTTACCTCGAACAGACTTTTCATTATAGATGGGTGGGAGTTACACGGGAGGCGTCTTCAGCATGTATTTGTCGGGCTTCGCAGACATTAGATAAAGAAATAACCATCATGATAATTTGGCTAATGTATTAAAATTTATAAGTATTTTTTTAATTATTAGCGGGGAATCGAATTGTTGTTGAGTTCGCGTGACGCCATTTTTCCCGCTGAATCTAGAGAAGAAACTGAATTTCCTAGCTAAATTTAGCTGAGAATTAAATTGGTGTTGTGATCAGTAGTGGGGAATTGAATTGGTGTTGAGGTCGCGTGGCATTAATTTTCCCGCTAAATCTAGTGAATAAATTGAATGTGCCCGCTAAATCAAGCGGATAAACTGAATTTCCCGCTAAATTTAGAGGAAAATTGAATTGGTGTTGGGGTCAAGTGACGTCAGTTTTCCCGCTAGATTTAGCGCGTCTGCGCTGACTCCGACGCCGACGCCACGAAAAACGGAAACGGGCACATAAGAACTGCGCTCTAAAACGTCTGCCCTCTACGCCGGCACTTTGTTGGGACGTAAGAAGTGTTCAGTTCTTGTTTTATTTCGTCGCGTCTAATGTGCGACCCAACCTTCGCAGATAGTCGAATTCGATGTAGTGTTCACAAAATAGAGTAATTTATTCGCGAAAAGTAGCGGTATCTTTGCAGACGTATTTTAGTTACTTTAAAAAAAAAGTACTTAAGTAATTCTTGCAATTACTTAAACAACATGTATCGAGTTACGGTTAAACGTTTTCAAAAAAAGGGAAAGACGTTTACGAATTCCTGTACTGCGAAATTAGCGTGCTGCTTTTGAGGAAAAAGAGGGGAGGGTACGGAGGGGAGGGTATGCCCCTCTTCCTCCTCCTCCTCCTGCTACTCTCCCCTCCTCCTCCCCTCTTTCTCCTCTGTGCCCTCCCCTCCGCCCACCATTTCCCCGCTAAATTTAGGGAGGAAAATGACGTCAAATAACTTAGTGTCACGTCACCTATGAACAAATTCAGCTTCTTCGCGGTAACGACGACAGCGCCACGTGTCGTCGTTACCTACTTCTTTTTGTCCCTGTCTTTCGGCGCTTCCTTCCAGCCAGCTTCTTCGCTTGATTTAGCGGAAAAATTGACGTGAGGTAACCTCAACAGCAATTCATATCCCCGCTAAATTTAGCGGCGAATTGAATTTCTGTTGAAGTCACCTCACGCCAATTTTCACACTAAATCAAGGGGAGAAACTGAATTTGTCCGCTAAATTTAACGGAGAAACAGAATCTCCCCGCTAAATCTAACACAAAAGCTGAATTTCGCCGCTACATTTTGCGGGGAATCGAATTGGTGTTGAGGTCAAGTGATGTCCATTTTCCCGCTATATTCAGCGCGGTTACGCCGACGCCGACGCCGGGAAACCCGCAAACGGCCGCCTAGGAGCTGTGCTCTAAAAGTAACGAGTTACAGTATCGCGATACAAGTATCACGATGCTACCCAAGACTGAAGACTTTGGATGGGGTGCTTGTTTTTGAAACAGAATTCGTCGGAAAAAAATACACTTGAAGCCTGCTTTGTGTGCCGCGTTATCAGACGAATTTTCTAAAACATGAACGAAATATTTCCTAAAAGTTTATAATCAAGTGCGTTGCGGTCGCCATAATGATAACGGATTAAAGGAGCACAAACCACCAGCCTCAGACGTTGGAGCACAACTCCCGCGTGCGTGAAGAGCGACTTTACCATATAACTTCGAATTCTAAGACGGATGAACACACGACTTCGCTATCTACGGGTGCTTATATACAGAAACATAGTCTCCTCTATACTCATGAAGCCTGGCAGTTCGACAACGGAGTCATAGAGGGCCCGGTCGCAGATTTGGAGCGCGAGGATCTGGTAGCACAGAGCATCAAAGAGTCATTTCTCGGGGAACCTAGATGTCAGCGCATAGCTTTTGCAGCGATGAGAACCCAAAACACACTTGTTCACTCGGGAGAAGTGTGTTTCGGCGTCTCGCCGCAGCGGCACGCCAGTCACGTGGCTCTCCTCTCATCCGTTGTCTGCCGCTCCACCTTTTCCATTTCGGTGGCCGCTTCTCGTGGCGATCTGGCAGGCTTTGTCAGTATATAGGGAGTATTCACTGGCGGCCATATCCGTGTGCGCTGCTGCTGAGCGCGTGCTGACGGCGAGCTTCCGCAGTCCTTTTGGTGCGTGCATTTAGCACCATCAAGGTTGCCGGTCTTAGCAGGCTATTAATGTGAGCTCGTTCTGAGCATGCGATCTAAGCTTCCCCCTCAAATATGGCGTCCAGTGAATACCTCCTATTAGCGGCGAGAAGTTATGGTGGCGCCCTCCTACGTTTCCCCCTTGTGACGTCATTACCTTGGAAACAACAAGTTCGATGGTGTTTGTAAATAGCATGGTGGAAGCTTGAAATCATTGCGCTCTCAAAGGAACACTTCCAACACCGTCAAAATTAAAGTTCTTTCATTCCACTTATTTCCGTCGATGATATACCCTTTCCGACGTCATAAGTCAGCGTTCGGCCAATCGTGGAAGGCCGACCACAGCGACGCTTTCGGTCGCGCTCGTCGCCAATAGGAGGCTATGGCAGGAACCCTATGCGCACGAGCGCTTAGGCCTGGAGGCGCGCGACAGCGCCTGAGCACGCGGTCTCCCAACGCCGCTTGAAAGGGTGCCACTTCGCGTCGAGAGCAAACATGTAGAACGTGTGCGCTGACCCGCGCTTATTGTTCCATTCACTGTGAATTTGTATTCCATTAGGCGTACGATAGCGAAAACTACACTCCGGTTTACGCTTTGTATACAACGTTTTCAAAGCTACTGGCGCGAGCGAGCGGATTCATCTACGGTTTCGTTTGCGCTAGAACTAGTGCAAATGATCGGTGAGTTCCAAACCTTACGCTGGCACCAACAGCCTTGACAGGGTTGCACACTAAGTATAAAGCAGAGTATATCGGTGACTACCGCGAATCTGTCTGTTGCATATAGATAAACTTTTGTTATGTTAAAACAAAAAGAAAAAAACACAACAACAACATCAACAACGAAGCCACTCGCTAGCTGAATCGGCAAATAACTCGGCTCAAAATCTCAAGGTTGTGAGCTCAAATCCTGCCGGGGGAATGAAGTCTTTCTATACGATTCCTTATTGGCGTAACGCGTTTGGTGCCTGTTTTCGGTTAACCATGCGTTAGTCCCAACATGCCTTAAATATGCATCAAAATAATAAATATAACACATTTCTTGCGAAAAAAGAAGACAACACTGAGGCAAACAATGCTTTTTTAGATATTCATCGCTGAGTTTAATAGTTGTGAAATCGACACAAAAAAATGATACCAAAACCAGCATTGAAATATACTCGCACGTTTCAGTGCTGTGACGTCGGTAATAGCCGATTCACACGACGGACTGATCCGCGGACGGATTGATCACGTGATGACATGTCCGCGGTTCATCCGTCTCCCAAGCGCATCCACACGAGGGAGACGTCGAGCAGACGTCAGCGAGGACGGACCGATCCTGCTCGCCACCCCACAGTGCCGCGAAACTCCAACAGCGCACCGTGGCACCGTTGTCCAAGAGAGAAATCGACGGTCGCTACCGCGATTAAGAATCGTACGCCGCTGTTGCGCACATATTGAGACAAAACACCGGGGCAGGCTTCGCACCAAGCGCCACTAACTTTACTAACCCAAAGCATGACAGTGACACAGGCATGGTCCTGCTCGAGAAAGCTTCGGCGTAGACACGACGAAGTTCTGGGCTCGCGGAGGGTCGTTTGGAGAGGCCTTCACGCACTCCGCGCTCGTGCTTAACACTTAAGCACACCAGAATCACAAGAGAGGTCTTGCTCGGTGAAATCCTGATCGGACGTACAAGAATTACCGCGGCGTGCTAGACGAGTTTTGACGGGAGCTTCTTGACACGGACCCGGAGGAGTGCCGAAACCTGCGTCGCGTCAGCCAGACAAGTTTCTGGAGTTTCTTTCACTCGTGGAACCAAGAATCGCGCGTCAAAATGAACCAACCAACGCACAAAACACAACGACGCGCCATTTTTCTTTTGAACGCCCTGAAGCGAAAAACCAAGAAAACTAAGGTGCCTTCATGTGCGCTTTGCTTAGGGTGGAGACATCTGGCCATTTTGTCTCACACTTTTATTTTTATTTTTTGTTCAGAAGCGCGTGAAAGAACGTGTCCCTGCACGCGCTCATGGCGCTGACTGTGCTACGGCGACATTTTGTTTTCGTCGATTTCTTTGTATTTTACCCGTGAGCGCGTGCTGTCGGCATCGGGTACTACAAAGGGTGGCATCACCCTAAACAGAAGGACATTGAGGCACCCTAAAGAAAACAATGTACCGTTGCCAGACTAAACGCTTTCGAAGTCAAGCTCCCGCCAAACGTCCGGGAGTGAAAAAGGCACTCGACTTTATCAGTCCGCGCGTCCGCGGACGAGCCGCGGATCGCAAGAATCGGTGACGTGCCGGTCGCGTGATACGCGGACGAAAATCGCGATTCGGTCCGTCGTGTGAATCGGCTATAACAGGCATGCTTGCAGATCGAGCGGGCAGTCTAAAAAAATGGAACAAGCCGAGAATTTGTTTGGTGCAACTTCACAGGCGCTGGAGCAACCTTCCGAGGCATTTACTTGACACCATGAAACTGCCTGTAATCAGGTGAAAACAAATACTCCACACAGTCCAAACAGAGCTTACCTGCCGGCCGCTGGCTTCACCTTTTCGTTATTGCCAGTAAAAACTTTCGGTTTGAAAAACACGATGAGGTGCAAAAGTGTGAATTGTGCAACTTCGAAAAATAAATAAAAAAAATATTTTGGACAAATATTCGGCTAGCTATTTCAGCAAGATCTGTTGCCGAGTTTCATAAATTTTCAGACAAATCAAGGACTACATATAAATCGCGGTGAAAGAAGTGACCCAGTTGTTTTCTATAACGTCGCCACTAGAGAGTTTTAGAATAACGTGCGCAATTTAAGCGCACGCTGGCGTCAAATTTAGCGCTTGTGTTAGCACACGCTATGCAAAAGTGTTTTAAAATAGCGTTTTCTCGCCGCGGCACAAAAGCCCACTCATTTCGCGCTTTTAACGCCCCCAAGAGACAGTAACATTTTTATTTCACGAAAGAGATGCTGTAACTTGAGAACAAAGAAAACGAGTTTCTGATCCAGAGTAACATCTGAGATTTGTTTAAAAAAAAAGAATGAGAATGTCACGGGAGCGGTCGACCGGTCGCGTTCGCTTGCGTCGCCTCGAGAAGAGAGGTATCGTGTACTGACCTTAACAGACTTTACCTTCGCCGAGAGATGTTCGAGCCTCGCAAGCATGAAATTGCCGGCGATCGTTGTCCATCTTACTGGGTCTTCTAAAGGCCCTGTCACACTGCGGAAACAGTCGGAGAACTTTGTCCTTCAACACGAGAGAAACATGTTTTCGGGGACCCTGTCACATCGCGGAAACAGCGACAGTCCGGAAACATGTTGCTGTCGTCCTAAAACCATGTTTCCCAACTTGTTCTCCGACACTCGGGGAACATCCTGTCACACCGGGAAAGCGTGTCGGAAGAACACAAATTGCCTCCTCTCCTGCGCGCTGCCTCTCTCTCTCTCTCTCGCCCTCGTCTGCCAAAGCTACAAGCGCGAGCATGTGGCCCAGAACAGTGCTTGCACTGCACGAGCGCGCGTGCTTGGCAGGGCTGCGGAAAGCCCGGAACTCGCGCTTGTAGCTTTGGCAGACGAGGGCGAGAGAGAGAGAGAGGCAGCGCGCAGGAGAGGAGGCAATTTGTGTTCTTCCGACACGCTTTCCCGGTGTGACAGGATGTTCCCCGAGTGTCGGAGAACAAGTTGGGAAACATGGTTTTAGGACGACAGCAACATGTTTCCGGACTGTTGCTGTTTCCACAATGTGACAGGGTCCCCGAAAACATGTTTTCCTCGTGTTGAAGGACAAAGTTCTCCGACTGTTTCCGCAGTGTGACAGGGCCTAGTAGTCAATTATTGAAGTATTCTCGTGCGACTATTTGTACAGAAAAATATAGATGTTGCCATGTTGCTGGAAAAAAATTTGCTCAGCCACCGAAATGGGCAACACGTGTCGACCGACACAAGTTGTCGAGGTTTCCGTTGCCAAAAGCTGTCACACCGAGACAACATTGTCGCTGTCGTCCATGTTGTGTTGCTGTTTCCTCAATGTGACAGGGTTGTCGGACAACAGAGCCGACAGCCGACATGTTTCCCGACTGTTGAGAAACATGTTTTGTTCATGTTTCCGCCGTGTTTCCTCAATGTGACAGGGCCTTAAAGCCTGGTTCAGACAGTTGCGTTTGACTGCGCTTGACTGCGTTGCGGCAGCGAGAAACCAGGACATTCCTGCTGCTTATATCGCGCGCCAAGATGATTCCTTGAATTGGTTTCCACGCCTCATACGAAGCACAGATGTGCCGGTGTCTCGCTTTCGGTTCTCGACGCAACGCAGTCAAACGCACTCAAACGCAAGTGTCTGAACCGGCCTTAAGCCGAGCGCAATGTCGTCCCGTGTTGAAAAGCGCCGACGCCACGCTCACGACACTCAAAGCGGCATGCAGCCGCGGTTCTGGGAGCCACCATTTTTTAACTATTCTCGTCTTGGACTTCGCAAACTTCTCATCACGAATCCTCTTTGGAAGAGCGCGAAGAGTCCTTGCGTACGCACGCAATCACCGAAAGATAGCGTACGCTAAAATAGCGGACGCAAAGCACAAAACGTGGTTGAGTTGTCGCGCCTCGAGATCGCGCTGCAGGAGGGATAACCTCAGAGATGTTTATACTTAGTTTGGCTGATAGGCGGAGCTTGTTGCCCGCTAGAACCAGTGCACCTCGCGATAACACAAATTGGCGTTACTTTGTATGGTTTACTCCTGAGAAATCGCATAGAGTTCCTATGAGCCAGAGCCACAAAGTGGCGCACGGAAGTAGTTATCCCCCGGTTGTCAGACTACGCTGCTCTGGTTGCCAGGCTGTCAAAATCTCTTTAAGAAGGCCAAACTCTCTCAGTATAAACGGTTCTGGACCATCTCACCTCCTCCCCGCTGTTTTCATCTCATCACTCACTATTGGCGACGTGAGCGATCGAAAGCGTCAATGTGGACCGTGTTCAAAAATTTACTCGATCTTACTCCCGGGTAAGGGTTTCGTACATTGGCGTTCTAAAACCTACCCGCGTCGAGCGTCTTTCAATCTTTGTTGTCCCGTCACACAACCCGCAAGAATAACTCGGATCCATTTGGGTAAAATTTGTGACACGGCCGTGATCGGCCTTGAACAATTGGCCGAATGCTGATTATGACGTCAGCAAAGAATTTGCCACCAACCGAAATAAGGGTATTGTAAAAACTTCAATTTTGATGTTGTTGACGTTGTTGGCAGTGATGGTTTCAGAGCGCTATAGTTTCAAGCTTCCACCATGCTCATGACAAACACCATCGAACTTGTTCTTCGGAAAGTAATGACGTCACGAGAGAGAAACAAAGAAGGGCGCCACCAAAATATCTCGCCGCCAATAGCCCTAAACACAGACTTGTAAAAAATTTAGAAAATATTAAAAAAAAAATTATGTATTGTCATTTAAGAAAAGCTCACACGTCCCGTCCAGGGAATACTCTCCAGCGTCACATTGGACAGGACGGTCCTGATCAACTGGACCATGGTGGGCGTGCCAATAGAAAGCGTGGACAACGTCAAGACGATCGCAAGTCTGGCGGGGCTCAGCCTTCGCACCGGGGTCCCACGCTTCTTCGTCGCATACTTCCATCTCTTCGAGGGAGAGACACCTAAAGACACCTTTTTGGACCCCACCGGCTTCGTGAAGGGAGTGGCTTTCGTGAACGGCATCAACCTGGGCCGTTACTGGCCCGGCAGGGGACCTCAGGTGACTTTGTTCGTGCCCGCGTCGTACCTGCATCCTCATCCACGCGAGAACACTATCATGTTACTCGAGATGGAAGGCACCACCGGCGTCTTCCTCAGCGTGAACCTCGTGAGCGAGCCGAAGTTGGACGGGCCTTTGTAATCTGCTATATTCGTTTCGGTTTAAAAAAAATTTTCTTTGTTTGTTCTCAGTTTCAACACGGTGCTTACTCTTTTATAATGTCAATGCAAATATTGTCCTTCGAAACTCAGTGCCGCAAATAAAAACTACGGCGCCAGTAGCAAGATCGACTCCTACATTCTAAATAATAATCACAAAAAAATATAGATAATCATATGAATGAATAAAAAAAGAAGATTGATTAGAACTTAAAACAAGGAAAGAGTGGGAGAAAGTGCGAGATTGAGGTGGTTTATTTAACATCTCTTATAGACGTTTGCAGGTACGGCCTTTGGGGGCCGGCATATTGCTGCTTGTGTTGGCAAAACGACACACGACAGCAGCAAGACTGCAGTGCCCAAAGGACGTACTTACAAACGCTCATAGTCACTAACAGTTTAATAGGGCACTGACACGTCAAAATATAACTTTTTTATTGTCCGAAACGATTGAAAACGATTCCTAGACATTACCCTCAAAGTCCGAAACTTGGAAATTCAGTATTTGTAAGATAGAAAAACAATTTCCGAATGTTGGATCTGAAGTTTCCTCGTGATTCGCGCTAGTGGAGTGACGTCAAATATTGAGCCGTCCTGCAACTCGAGTTCCTCTCACGTCTCCGGACCACCGCGACCCAAAGGGTCGCGGTGGTCCGGAGACTTGACGTCTTACAAAAATCGCCGGCGTCGCACAAAAACCGGTTTCCTCCGTGACTGCCGCCTATCGCTGCGAGAAGAGGACGCTTGACTTTCGAGTTTAAAGTTCTTTTAGGGCCCTTTCAGCGGTCTCAAACTCTTTGAAACGGTACGAGGTCGAAGAGAACGCACGGTGGACTTAAGTGAGCGACGTGAGGGACCACGTCGCGCCGGTTCTGCGTGAAAAGCTGGGCCGGAGCAGTAACAGCAGAAACTACGGTACACAGACACCAAACCCAGATGTTTTGACGGTGTGACGATTTCCTTTTCAAAGCCAAGAGGTCCTCAGGCACCTAAAAAGGAAAATTTCGTCCGATTTACCGACTCACCGATCATCCTCTGCTATATGCGTCGAGCGTCGCCATGATTTCCGAGGGAGAATAAAAAGCCAGGAGGTGATATCACGCCGGACTCTGATTTTCGGCATTTCAAAAAAGAAGACAGTCGTGCGTTCGCAATTGCGTTAAAAAACATTTTTTTATGAATTCCGTTATCACATATTTTAAAAATGTGGCTTACAAAGCTTCTAAATTTCATATTATTTGACGTCACAAATAAAATAAAGTGACGAGGTGAAGAGCGGGAGAGAAAGATGCCAAAAATAAAAAGACACGCGCGCGCGCATTGAGATTTCTTTTTTTTTTTGCGTTGTAATCTTATTTTGCGTATCTATGACTACAACTTGCATTGTTGCAAAAAACAAAAATTAGAAACAAATAACGACAATTTGGGGTGTCAATGTCCCTTTAAGAAACGCAAGGTGGGGCGAGACCCTAGAACCTTTGCATCGCTCCGCAACAAATCAGATAACGAAGCAAGACACGTGGATTTCGTAAACCACGTAACCCGCTTTTCCAGCTGTCGACTATAAATAACAAGGCCCGAGTGCTAGACCTGCTACGTCATCTACCAGAGACCAGCCTGGAGCGCTCATTGGACACGAGTGCTACACAACCGTTCGGATGGGAGTCGTGCCCAATCAGTGAGGACCGAGCCCTGGTCGAACTCTGACGTCACTGGTGAGAGGCCAAAGCAGGGCACTGATCCGACACGAGTGCTGCGTTACCGCTCCCACTGGGGAGCGTGTCCAATCATTGACGACACAAACTCCAGCCGACCGTTTACGCAACGCTCGTATCAAATCTTTGCCCGCACTCTGGCCTCCTGTAGATGGCGTAGCAAATCCAACACTAGGGCCCCGTCATCTAGATTCAGCAGCAAGAAACTCCAGGCGTGGTGAGTCCCGATCATCCTATACGGCGTGCAATTTCGTCTGCTCCTTGCACACCTCGTGCGTTTGCTTACTCCCAAAGGGGCCCACGTGCCTTTGTTTTCCCCCGACCTCAACCAACACCACCTAGACAGAAGGCCTCCGCATGGTGTCCTCTCCCTCTATAAGAGATCATCAGAGTCGGATCGCGCTGACTCGGCTACTGGGCCCGAGCCCGACCTTCGACGCGCTGATTGGACACGAGCCCCAGCCGAACACTGACGCAGCACTCGTGACCAAGCTCACGCCTCGACTGATCTGACTGTGATGATGCGTGCGGAGGTCTTTTCTCTATGGGTGGTGTGTGTTGCCTCAGCAAAGAATTACGCGAGTTTGGCTGCCTCGTCATCGCTCGTTCTTTACGCGTTCTCTATGCTGCCCTTTGATTGGCTTGTCTCTCTTTGCGTTCAGATGCGAAAAAGACGCATGTTAGAACACTTGCTCGGTGTATTATCGCCACACAGCAAGCGAGATTGTGGCATTAACCAAATAGTCATGCCGAATGACGAATCACAAATCAAGATGCATGACCATAAGAAGGAGCAACGCTCAGCGTTTCTAACGCTTTCAAATACTTATATATATATATATATATATATATATATATATATATATATATATATATATATATATATATAAAGAAAAGAATAAAGATAGGATAGAGAAATAGGATATGTGATCATGTCAAGTTCACACGAATCGTTCACGAGTCACACGAATCGTGCGAGTGTGTTTTGGGCCCCGAGCGATTGTCCCGATCAGAATCCGACCGTTTTCGAGCAGACGCTAGCCGGCCGATCGCTCAGCCCGGCTGCCGAGTGGCCGACTGGCTGCGCCATTCAGCGGTGCCTCGGAAGTGACTCATTGTGTTGTTTATGATATTAGGCATTCCGGCACCTTGTTCTTTGCCAGAGGTGCAAGGTGAAACGAAGAAAAAATGAGAGATCTTCATCCTGCTTCTGTATTGGTGGGAAAATAAGCAATATCGCCTTGAAGCAAGGGTATATAGCAAGCTGGTTTTATATCAGTGTGTGGTTTTATATCAGTACCTGATCTCTGCGTTCTAAATTGTAGCCAGGAAGGTCTTGCAGAAAATTGCAATGATTTTTTATAAACATAAGCAGCAATATTAGGCCTAGTCTTTTTCATAATGATGGTGATGTTTTTGCCTACTCCTTTGAATAACAGCTTTGTCTTCAAAGAAATAACTAGAGAAAAAAAATATTCCTGTCACTAAAGAAATGTCCTCGAACAAAGCCGTAGGGCATGATGAGATATCTGTTAATATACTGAAGGCCAATATCAATATCTTGAGTGAACCATTACAAAAAAAGAATATTTAATCAGTTATTTTTCGGTGGTGTTTTCCCAGATGAATTGAAAGTTGGTAGACTTGTACCTATCTATAAAGGTGATGATCCCAACTCCAATTACATTATTACCCATCATTGATATTTTGTTTGAAAAATTGATAGCTAATAGAATAATAGAATTTATTGAAAAATACCAAATACTGGCATCACAGTACTGGCATACCAAATACTGGCATGGCTTTCGCAAAAATTATTCTACTAACACCGCAGTTCATTCTGTAACCGATATAATAAACCAAGCTCTCGATAAGGGTCAGATTACCATAGGTGTATTTCTCGACATTAAAAAAGCCTTTGTGCGTAGACCACAATATTTTGCTAAACAAACTAGAGAGTTATGGGTTCCGAGGTCCCGCAATTTCGTTCTTCCGTAGTTATTTAGCAAACCGAAAGCAATTTGTAGGCATATTTAACGAAAAGTCAACCCTGAAATACGTGAAGGCTGGAGTGCCACAGGGCTCTGATCTGGGTCCTATTTTCTTTTCTTTATATGTAAATGACTATGCTAATTCAATAGACCGATGTCACCAAGCGAACTGCGCAGGCGCGCGTATTTCGGAAGTGGTGCCGCCGCCATGCTACTTGTAGTCATCCCTTCCCGGCTTCCCGGCTACATACGGCTGCGCGTTCGTACATCATCATAGATTATCATTTGGCACGCCCCGGTATCACCTTGATTCTCTTGCATGTTTTTACTTCATAACATTGTGTTGTTTGTGATGCCTTGCTTTCCTCAGCAAGTGCAGAAAAGCAGTTTCAGTCGTCTTATCGCTTTAGAATCGCTTTGTCGTCTGCTTCGTCGTCGTCTGCTTCTTCGTCTTCGTGAACGCCTGAGCCCACTGCCATTTACGGGTTAATCCCACTGCGGCCGCAGAAAAAACAAAACAAAAAAACAACGGCGCCACTACTCGAGCATTCCGACTCCTCGGACGTCTCAATTACCTTGCAAACAAGTGAACATCTAGTGCAATAGCAAAGAACAAGAAAATTCGAGGGACCATCGGCTCGGTGTTGCACCACGGAACAGCATCAAATGAAATGAAAAGCTGAAATTGGTGGTGCTCAGTCTTGTGCATAACGTTTAATCAGCCATCAAGTAAGAGGAGCTAAATAGACTTTCTCGGTCAGCGATAGTTTTCTAAAGGTTGTTTAATTCTGGTTGACAGCCTGTGCGACAGAGTACAGATGAGCAGCGGGAGAAGCCTGCACACAAAGAACTGATCTACAGAAAGGACATGCCTGACGTGCCGTAATAATTGGCATCTATCAAAAAGAAGCAACCATGCCAGATACCTGAAAGCTTGGGGTGGAAATGATTTTTCGTGCACAGTTTCTATTCAGTTTTATTTTGTTTGCGCAAGATCCGAACGCTAACAGTCGCCCGACGGGGGAAGCTTTTTTCTGCGGTCTCGACTGGTGCTCGTGCAGAATGGATCAGTAACACCAGCCTAATAGTCCACCACAAAATGGATGAGGTTCGTTTGTTACATTTTTGGCGGTAAGTACGAGTTGCACTTCTAAATTGCATTATGTAATCTTTTCGCGTTGGTATGAAAAAAAAAAAAAAAAAATGAAGGCTGCTTCCGAAAAAAAGTTGTTTTTTATCAAGTGGTGCATATCGAGAATCGCTGCTCTTTTTTAGTG